CCCCACCAGTGGTCGTCATCCAGATGTGATTTTTGCCCTCCACAGGACATTTGGCAGTGTCTGGAGACATTTTGGTTGTCACCCCTGGGGGAGTGCTACCGACATATGGGGTACCAAAACCAAAGATGCTAAATATCTTACAATGGACAGGATAGCCTTCCACCAACAAATAATTATCCTGCCCAAAATGTCAGTAATGCCACTGTTGAGAAACTCTGAATCAATATCCTCACTGTTTCGGCAGGGCTTCTGTCTACCAGCTTATTATTTGTTTTCTATTTGACCCACCAGTTTTGCTGCTTTTTTTTTTTTCTCATTTTTTACCTTCTTTTGGATAAATCAAAATATTTGTTTTCCCATTTCTACTGTTCTCTGAACTTATTAGATATATATTATTTTACAGTTCTTTTGGAGTTAGATTTCAGCATGCATTCTTGACATGTTATAGTCTAATACAAATTATTTTGCCACTTCCTGCTTCTGCTAAGACGCTTAATACAACTTAATTCCTTTCATACCCCTATGCAGCTTTTGTGCATTATTGTCTTGCATTTTGTTTATATATATGTATATATTTATGTATGTATGTATATATATACATACACACACATATCTATATTTAAATTACAAAACACATAATTACTATTTTGTTCAGTTAATATTCTTTTATATTGACCTATTACGTTGTTCCTCATTCCTTCCTACATTTTCATGCTTGTGGTTAGGTTCATTTTCTCCCTTTATTTTTTCTTTGGTGCAGACCTGATAGCCATGAATTTACTCAGTTTTTGTTTGTCTAAAACATCTATATTTTACCTTCAGTTTGAATGATGTTTTGTATGGTGTAAAATCCAAAGTTGGTAGTTATTTTCTTTCATTACTTTAAAGATATCATGTCTTGTCTTCTGGATTTTATCATTTCTGTTGAGAAGTTGTCTGTCAGTCTTATTGCTCCAGTTACTTTAAGACTTTTTACTTTTGGTTTTCAGTAGTTTGGCTATAATGTATCTATGTATTTCTCTTGGTATTGCCGACTTGGAGTTTGCTGAGTTTCTTGAATCTGTGAGTTGATCTCTTTCATTTGTTTGGACATTTCTCAGTCATTTGTCCCCCCGCAGCAGCCATCTCCCAGAAGTCATGTATTTTGATATCCCTGAAGACTGCAGTTTTGTCCCCCACCCCAGTCTTACATGACCACATTAAAGTCATTATGGTTTCTTTTTCCTCAGTGTTAACCCTTGGCCTGGGCTACACTGTAATCCTGAGCTCCTGTCCAAGACCAACAAATGCACTGGTGGGGAACAGCTACTGATTGTTGGCTCACTCTGAACATTCACCCCTCACTAGAGTATTACTCTATCATGTTGCCTCCACAACTAATTGACGCTTTAAGAAATGATTTTTTTTTTTTTTTACAATTTATCTGGCTTTTTCTAATTGTCAGCAGGAGTATTGGCCTGCCACACTTTACTATATCCTACTCAAAAGCAGAATCTGTATAGTTGTTTTTGAGTGCTCGTTAGGTGCCAGATGCCCTTTTAGGCTCTAGGTATAGGATTGCCCAGTCTAAAGTAGATAAGACAAATATATACAAAATATTACAGTATGCTAAATGCTGTAATAGCGATGTGTACAGTGGTAGGACAAAGGAGGTAAATGTGAAATAGCATCACCTGTTTGGGAAATTATAAGTTTTATGAATTTAACATGGTTGCAGTCTCAAGTTCAAGGAGTGAAGCAATAGAGATGAGGTTGGTGAGATAGGCAGCGGCCTGATGATGAAGAGCCTTGTATGCCATTGTAAAAGATGTTTGTACTTTAGGCAGGCTACGGAGAGCAGTTGAAGAATTTCAAGCATGGAGAAGAGTGATCAGATTTTTGTTTAGAAAGATTACTTACATGTCAGCATGAAATGTGGATTCAAGAAGGGCAAGTACACAAGGCAGGGAGCCAGAGAGGAAACTGTTACAGTCAGTCCAACATTAAATAGATGATTATCATCAACAGATTTGAAATATGTTGATGGGGTAGAATTGATGAAACGCAAGGGAATGGTGGAATGAAGAAGGAGGCGAAAGAAAGCGGAGTCTATGGTTTCTGGCTCAGGTGAAGACCGTAAATTACAAAGAGAATATAGAAGAAAGAGCATATAATTTCAATTTTGAACATATTGTATGTTCCCACTTTATTAGCTCTATCACAGTTCTTGTCATATAATCTGAGAACATAGTTCAGGGTACCTCTTCAGACTCTTGAGGTAAGTGAGGAATGCAGAGCCCCAGGCCATGAACTTCACCCCAGCTTTAACCATACCTTCTGATTTTATCTGTTTTACACGTTGGGTTTCCACTTAAACGTTCTATTGAAGAAAGTTTTCCATGTTAAAAGAAAAAAGAGTTTCTCAGCATTATTTCCTTTTTTCATTCATCTTCCCATTTTAGGTCTCTGTTTTATTTGTTATGTGAATGGAGTCCTTTTTCAGACATTTTCCTCTGGAAGGGTATATGGATGATACCTTCCTCAATCTTTGCATTTTGTCCTTTCACCCTGACAGGTGAATATCTTGGCTGTATATAGGGTTTGGAGTCCACAGTCCTTCATTTGCAGTCTGTAGATGTTCTTCCACTGACAGTTTTGTTGCTCCATTACTTATTACTTCATTGTTGCAAATGAGAAATCCAAGGCCAGTCTTTTATATATATATGTGTGTTACTTGTTTCTTCCTGAAAGCATATGATTTCTCTCTTGATCTTTTAGTCTACAAGAATGTTACTTGAATGTGACTAGGTATGTATCCTTTAGTCTTTTCAATCTCCAGATAAATCTTTTTTTTTGCAGCTCCGGAAAATGTTTCAGTTATTTATTTGTTTTAGCACCTCCATCTGTTCCTCCTTCTTCTAGAATTCCCAGCTATTTACATGTTGGTTCTCCCAGATCTGTCCTCCAGGTCCATCTCTTTGTATTTCTGCTCAGAGTTTTAAGGTAGCTCTCCTTGATCTTCCAGGCACTAACTGGATCTCAGCAATTAGCCATCCCATCCCCTCAACCCCCGTCCCGCATCAGTTGAGCTTTTTTTGGTGTGAAAAATCCTGTTTTAAAAATTCTAATGAAATATCTTTTGTCTTTTCATTGAACTTCATTTTTAGTCTCATTTTTCAAATATTTGGCTGTCTCCTTTAGTGGTTCTGTTAATCTAAGATTCACCATTTCAGGGGTGTTGTATTTGCTTTTCCTACCTCTGACAGCTAGGTCCCATTAAGTGGTTATCTTTCTCTTGTTCCAACTACCAATGATTGAGGCAGGGGATGGCACAGCAGCCTCTGGGTCATCAGTGTGTGAGCTGGTCCTGATTAGGCATCAGCAGTCCCCAGCCAAGCTTTCTGTTATCTATACATGGCATCTTCCTAGCCTAGGATAGGGAAGATTTAAGCTTCTTTCCTCACCTGGCTTCTTTGGGGTCACAGAGACCAGGAGGTACCACCTTAAGAAGTCTCATGGAGACTAGGATTGCCCTTCCTCGCAGAGGTCCATGGAGCTCTGTGGACCAGACTCTCTCCAGGGTGTTGGAGCCTGATAGTTACCCTGGAGCCCTCTCCTGACCCCGGGGCACAATCCAGCACCAGCTCTCTCTCTGGGCTGAGCATGTCTTGCCCACACCCACCAGCCATCACTTGCCTGCCAGCTCTAGTCACTGGAGCTCAATAGAGTTCATGAGATTGAGGACAGTTTCTCATCATCATCTATTTAGGACCGCACCCCACTACTCTAGCAAGTAGAGCTAAAAAAAAAAAAAAAAAAAAAAACGGACAGAGAGAGACCACCAGGTTAGATGGTCTCTAAGCCTCCATCCAATGCCAGCATTTTACAGTTGTACACATTTATGGTCTCCAGCTCAGCTCAGTCCTCTGTACCCTTGGGCCACACTTTTATGTCTTCCCAGCATGCTCTGCTTTCCCAAAGGGAATATTTGAGACTTTTATCTCTCTCTTCAAGCCCTCTGTTTACCCTCCTTCTTGTTCATTACCAGCCCATGACTTTGAATTTCTCCTCACAGAGAAAAGAGACTCATATTAAGTTGCTCAGCTCCTTTACTTACCCATAAACCTGTCTCCTTTCACTGCCTGCCTGTATGCCTGCTTGCCGTCCATCTTTCCATCCTGCTTGAATCTCTCCTCTCCCATGATTTCTGTGACAATGTGCATTCCTGGTTTTCACATTTTTCTGGCCACTCTTTTTCATTTGTTTTGTTTTCAGCTTCTCCCAGCTCTGATTCTTCTCCCATATTACTGGCTCACAGTGGATCACTTCAGTGCATGAAGTTGATCATATCACCCCCTGCTTAAAACTTCTTTATGACAAGAACAGACAAAACTAATCCATACTCATGCAAGTCAGAGTAGTGGCTACTTCTGGGCAGGGAAAGTAGGAATTGATTGCAAAAGGTAATGAGGGAGCTTTCCAGAAATATTCTGTATTTTGTTTTGGGTAGTAGTTACAAGGGTCTCTACATACATAAAAATTCACTGCCCTGTACGTTAAGACTAATGTATCTTACCCTGTGTGTATTATGCCTCAAGTTAAAAAAGACAGAACCTTCAGTGGCTCTCCATTACTACTACAGGCTAAAATCCAAACTCCTTAGACTAGCCCACAGTTTCCTATTCATTTCTCCCTCAAGTCTTGGCTCAAATATCTTCCTGTGAAACCCATCTTGGCTTTCCCAGTGTATGACACATGGATCTTCCATATTCACTAGGACAGTAATCATAGGCCTACCCTGGTTCTTTACAGACTGTGTCGTAACTGTACACCTGCTTCCCTCACTGGACTGGGGGCTCCCTAAGAATAAGGACCATCTCTTTTCAGTTCCATTTCTCTTCTAGTATCTTGTGCAGTGACTGGCACATAGGCCCCCACTACATGTCTTTTGAAAGAATTTAAGTTCACCTTGTATTTGCTTTGGGTTTGACCTTCCTTACTGAAAAGTTGCTTTCTTCCAGCCTGCAGGATGTTTCCTCAGTGAAAGGAATGCTTTTGCACAATGGCAGTTTTTGATACTCCTGAGGAAGCCTTTGGCGTCTTACGTCCCGTCTGTGTTCAGCTCACAAAGACCCAGACAGTGGAGAACGTGGAGCAGCTGCAGGCACACTTACAAGCCGTGAGTGACTCTGCCCTTCAGGAACTTCAGCAGTACATCCTCTTCCCTTTGCGATTTACCCTGAAGACCCCGGGTCCCAAAAGAGAGCGCTTGATCCAGAGTGTGGTGGAGTGCCTCACGTTTGTCCTGTCCTCAACATGTGTGAAGGAACAGGAACTTCTCCAGGAACTCTTTTCGGAACTCTCTGCTTGTCTGTATTCACCCAACTCCCAAAAACCCGCCACCGTGTCAGAGGAGTTGAAACTGGCTGTGATCCGGGGCCTCAGCACGTTAATGCACTCGGCTTATGGGGACATCATTCTGACTTTTTATGAGCCCTCCATCCTGCCTCGTTTAGGATTTGCTGTGTCTTTACTGTTAGGCCTAGCTGAACAGGAGAAATCAAAGCAAATTAAAATTGCTGCCTTAAAATGTTTACAGGTTCTACTCTTTCAGTGTGATTGTGACGACCATCCCAGATCCTTGGATGAGCCTGAGCAAAAGCAGCTAGGGGACTTGTTTGCTTCTTTCTTACCTGGAATCTCAACTGCACTGACCAGGGTTATCACAGGAGACTTTAAACAAGGTCACAGTGTTGTGGTATCTTCCCTAAACATCTTTTACAAGACAGTGGGCTTCATCATGGCTGACGTACAGCTCGGAAGAATCTCAAAGGTTAAAGCAAAGCCTGCAGTGGAGCACAGAGTAGCAAAGCTGATAGTTCACAGGGAAGCCGATTGGGTAAAAAATACTGGCGACAAGTTGAGTATCCTTATTAAAAAGATAATTGAGTGTGTTTCAGTTCACCCGCACTGGAAGGTGAGGCTAGAGCTAATAGAACTTGTTGAGGCCCTTCTTTTCAAGTGCAGTCAGTCCCTAGTTGAATCTGCTGGTCCCCTTCTGAAGGCCTTGGTGGGCCTGTTGAATGATGAGAGTCCTGAAGTCCAGGCGCAGTGCAATAAAGTTCTGAGACGCTTTGCAGATGAGAAAGTAGTGGTGGGCAACAGGGCCTTTGCTGACATCCTATCAGAAAGCCTACATTCCCTTGCCACATCTCTTCCGCGCCTAATGAGCTCCCAAGATGATCAGGGCAAATTCTCTACTCTCTCCTTGTTACTCGGTTATCTGAAACTTTTGGGCCCCAAAGTGAACTTTGTCCTCAACTCTGTGGCCCATCTCCAACGTCTTTCCAAAGCGCTTATCCAAGTTCTGGAATTAGATGTAGCTGACATCAAGATTGTTGAAGAGCGGCGTTGGAACTCTGATCATCTGAGTGCTTCTCCGAAGACAGCCGCACAACCACGGAGTCAAATCCAGAGGCGATATTTCCGCTTCTTCACTGACGAGAGGGTTTTCCTGCTCTTGCGGCAGGTCTGTCAGCTTCTTGGTTTTTATGGGAACCTCTATTTGCTTGTGGATCACTTTATGGAACTATACCACGAATCCGTGGTTTACCGGAAGCAAGCTGCCATGATCCTTAATGAACTGGTCGCAGGAGCTGCCGGGCTGGAGGTGGAGAATCTTCATGAAAAACATATTAAAACAAGCTCAGAGGACCTGAGAGAGATTGTGACATCTATACTTGAAGAATACACGAGCCAAGAAAACTGGTATTTGGTCACTTGTATCGAAGCTGAAGAAATGGGAGAGGAGCTAACAATGAAGCAATTAGGCCCCCAGGCCATCACATCTGGTGCATACACCTGCCAACTTACATCTTTTCCAGCCTTCTCAAAGCCAAGTCCCACTATCTGCTCTATGAACAGCAACATCTGGCAAATATGCATCCAGTTGGAAGGGATTGGCCACTTCGCTTATGCACTGGGAACAGACTTCCGTTTGCTCTTGATGTCAGCCCTCTATCCAGTACTGGAGAAGGCTGGAGACCAAACCCTGCTCATTAGCCAGGCAGCTGCCAGCACCATGATGGATATTTGCCATGCTTGTGGCTACAACTCTGTGCAGCACCTGATCAATCAAAATTCAGACTATTTGGTGAACGGGATCTCTTTAAATCTACGTCATCTCTCTCTGCACCCTCATACCCCAAAGGTCTTGGAAGTCATGCTGCAGAACTCAGATGCTAACCTACTTCCTTTGGTGGCAGATGTGGTTCAAGATGTCTTGGCTACCTTGGACCAATTTTATGATAAGAGAGCCACTGCCTTTGTCAGTGTTCTGCACGCTCTGCTGGCAGCATTAGGTACATTGAGAGCCCTTTTTAATGCTGATTTGGGGGAATGGCTAGTACCTTTGTTTGCCTAACCTTGTTTTTTTCTTTGTGATTATGCTATGGAGGACATTATTTGAATATTGTTCAAATTTGAATATCATTTGAATTCATCCAGCCCCACATGTTATGGTAGGGTCCCACTGCTTATTTTTTTCTTATATACTTTTGATAAGCTCTACCATATATTGAGCTCCTGGTCTGTGCCAGGGACATAAATCCTGCAGACTAAATGTAAATATTATTTTTGTTTTAAAGATAAGGAGAGCTAAGGCTCGGTGAAATCCTACTTAGCCAGGGTCACACAATTAATAAGGAGTAAAGTCAGGATTTATGATTCTGTTCTTTTCAATATACCAAGCTGCTCCTGATGATTCTTAAGAATTAGCAGTAGCTATGCTAATGGAGAATAGTTATAACATGAATTATTCAGTCCACAGATAATCTCATACAGTACTGTCCAATAGAGCTTCCTGTGATGATGAAAATGTTCTGTATCTATTATACAATAGTCACCAGCTACATGTGGCTAGTGCAACTTAGGAACTGAACTTTTAATTTTAATTAATAATAATAGCCACATGTAGCTACTGACTGCCATATCTAAAAATTAACTTTTTAATTCTGTGAGGGGGTTCGAGTTTTTCTCCTTCCCTTTGATCCTGCTGGGTGTCTGTTGGAGGTGTTAGCCACCATTAAAATGGCAGTTTTGGACTATAAGAAAAAGAATCCCTTAACTCAATAATCAGTCTCTGAATGAAAAAAATAATGAGCTGTGTACCTGAGCCCATTTATCCAAAGAGCATAGCTCCAATACTTATTTCAGTACAGCTAATAGCCTCCAAAGTAGGTAGAAAGGTCACCGACCTCATTTTGTCAGCTGGGAAAGCCAAGACCATGTAAGAAAGTCCTTCCCAGAAGGTGACTGGAACAGGGACAGTCCTCTGGCCTGCAGCTGATACATTTCCAATGTTCATTCCTTCATTTGTGAACATTCATATGCAGTGTAAATGTTCTTTTATTCATTCATTCAGGAGTGCCTACCATATGTCAGACATCATGCTAAGTAATCAGGGTACAGCAGTGAACAAGACGAATAAACTCATGGAGCTTTCCTGCTGCTTCAAGAGAGATGATAAACAAGTAAACAAATCATTAAGCTCATTTTAGATTCTAATAAGCACTGTGAAGAAAATAGGCAACTTAATGCAAGAGAGTAACAGGGACAGGCTACTTTAGCAGAGATACGCTCTTTGGATAAAAGTAAAAGTGGTCAAGGAGGGTCTCTCTAAGGAAGCAGTGCTGGTGCTGAGACCTGAGGGCTGAGAGGGGCCCCTCAGTACGTGTGGAGCTGTCACATCCTTTTTGTGCTTTTTAAGAACATTTCAGACAAAAGGGAACAGCAGCTGCAAAGGCCTGAAGGGAAGAAAGGGCTTGGGGTCTTTGGAGAATGGAAGAGAGGTCATTGTGGAGAGGTCCGTACAAGGTGAAATTAGAAAAGTGAAATCTTGCAGAGTTTTAGACCAAAGGAAGAAGTTTAGATTTTATTTTGTAGTCATTCAGAAGGCCTGTATCCTGGACCAGTCACTGGGATGTCAGCAGTGACCAAAAAGAACCTGGTCCCTGCTCTCATGGAAACTCTACTCAGACTGGCTAACTGCTTACACACTTTAGACTGTGACTGCTTCCATGGTCCAGACTTCTACCTTTAGTGATTTGGGGAACTGTGCTACATGTTAATTTGAGATTTAAAAAATGTATTAAGAAAAGGCCTATTAAATGTATCCTCTCAGGAGAAAGCTCAATTTGGGCCTTGAAAATTGAATTGCCTTGGATCGCTGATGACTTGGGTCATCTCTCAAGAAGAAATCCTGTGTGGCATTTTTTTTTTAATTGAAGTTGAGGAAGAGGGGTGTTTTCATTGCAGAAAGGAATAGTGAGGGTGAGTAAGGTTAACTTGAGAGCATCCTAGGAAAAGAAGCAAAGTTGGGGATAGCTTTTCCGAAAGTTTTGAGATAACCCAAAACACTTGCGTTCTGAATGGTAAGCAGTACTTAGGTGGAGTTGATTGGTCATGTATGAATCAAAGTAGCACTGGAAGCTGGCATTTCTGTTTGGTCATTGAATTGTCTAACTGTTGGTCACTCTTTTCAGATGGGAGTGGAAGTGTGGTCTAATGGAACTTCCAAAAAGTCTTAAAAGAACCTAATACATGTTTTAGGAAATCGAGTTAGCATAAACAGAGTTTTTCATAAGCATTGATTAAAAAGCACTAGGTACCACTGTGAGGCTAAGGGCTATCAGTTAAATTACTCCTAAGCACCAGCTACTGGTTGATTATTTGTAACAAAACAGTAAGGTAGCTTTAAAAGTAAGAAAGCATCCATGCACCTTATGTCAGCACTTGGAGATGGTGCCACATCTGTATGTGGAGGGCTGCCACATTATTTTGGTGGCTGCATAGTATTCAGCTGTGTGGGGCTGCACCATAATTTATTTAAACAGTCCTTTCTTGGTGGACATTTCAGTTTCCAGTCTTTTGCTATCACAAAAAATGCTGTAATGAATATCTTTGTAGGTCATTTTGATCACGTCTAAGTATATCAATAGGGTAATTTCCTAAGACGAGTGCTGGCTTAGAGGGTATTACATTTAAGTTTTTGGTAGAGAGTGACAAATTGCTCTCCAAAGAGTTCGTGCTAATTTAAACTCCCAACAGCAATGTAAGAGAGTGCCAATTTTGCCATGCTCCCACCCACACTGTACAGCACCAAGCTTTTTGATCTTTGCTACTCTAATAGGAGAAAAATAGCACCTTATTATAGTTTAATTTGCATTAAGAGTGAGGTTGAGCTTCATTTCATATGTTTAAAATCCATTTGTGAGCAAAGACTTTTTAATATCTGGCGCTAGCCTTAAATCTAGAAAATAATCTTCATAACCTGTCTACTTGTAGCAGCGTAAATGCTGGGTCCTCACTTTTAACACGTTGCAAATGCAATCCCTTAGCATACACTAAGGGTCTGGGGATGAGTCACTGAAGAAATGTCATAGTTGACCCCCCCATGGAGGAACCTCCAGATACTGTATCAGAGGCTCTCCCCTTCAGCATTTGCTCTCTGCAGCTCCCAGTCGCCTGACCCGGCATCTCCCATCTGCTGCTGCTCTGACTCTGTGCAGATGCTCCTTGATGGAAAGGAGGTTAGCAGGTGCTAAAAGTTATCAGAGACTCTGCTTTCTGCAAAAGGAGGGCGAAAATTCAGGCTGCGGGGTTATCTTGTTCTTTCACTCTTTAAGTATTAAGAGCCTTTCAGAAATGAAGCCTTACCCTAAGGCTTCATTGAACCCAGTATACAAATATAGTTGAAATTAGAGCCGCTGTGGTTAAAGAAGGGATAGAAACCCTGGATCCACCCCCTTTAGCCTGCTATCTCTTGGCCTCCCTGTCGTGACCCTGAGACATTTCTGCAGTCCTAGGGCTCCTCAAGGCACAGTTTGAAAACCATTGGTACAGTGATGTTTAAGGCTTATTCTATGGTGACACATCAGAAGTATCGGTGCATCTCTGAAGAAGGAATAGCTTTGGAGAGAAAATTCCTTCTCTCATGTCAGAAATACTTATGTGAGATTGTGTCCATTCTCAAAGCTCTGTAGAGCCTGTCTTCTGCTAATGAGTAATGTATCTGTACTGAGAATTTTGTCACTTGTATGTATTCTCCAGTCTAGTGTATTTGTTCATTCACTGTATATTTTGAGTACTTACTCTGTGCTGGGTATATTGAATTTCCAGTGGCGATCAATGGAGCATAGAGTCTAATGAGAGATTCAGACACTAAACCACACACAAACTAAGTATAATTTACAAATCGTGATGAGTTGACATGAAAGGAAAGAACATGACGCTATATAAGACAGCCTATAAGGGACCTAAGTTAGACTGGGGAGTCAAGATGGCTTTACTGGGCAAGTTATATTTGTATTGGAATTAGCCAAATGTGACGGGGCAGGGAGGGATGTATTCCAGATAGTGAGAGCAGCAGATGCAAAAGTTCTAAGGCAAGAAAACACCTGGTGCGTTGGAGGAACTAGAAGGTGGTCAGTTAATGGGCAACTGGGAGTGGTTAGAAGATGAGGATGGAGAGACAGGTAGGGACTGGACCGTGCAGGGGCCGTGCAAGCCATGGCAAAGAGCTTATTCTACACACAAAGTATTGACGCCTATTGTCAGTTGACCAAGGTGATCGTTATAACGTTTTTTTACAGCCCAGTGGTTCCCAGACACAGGTGATTGTGGGCAACTCCAAGAGCAAAATGTAGGGGAGAAGGGAAGTCATTTGAGCCAAAGACCAGAAGCTTTTGAGAAAGGATGTGCGAATACCACCACAGCTGAAGACATTGAGCAGTTTTTGCTGAACTACCTCAAGGAAAAGGATGTGGCAGATGGAAATATCTCAGATTTCGATAATGAGGAAGGTAACTATTATTTTGACTTAGCCTTTTTTTTTCTTTTTGAAGCAGATTATTGTAAAAACGATGAAACATCATTATAGAAAGTTTGGAAATATGAAAAGTCACTCATAACCTTACCATGCTAACATAGGCATTCTCACTTTTCGTATAATCTTTTTCTGTTCCTGTTGTTGCAAACCTGTTTTTATATGGTTGCAGCCTCAGTTTAAATGCCCTTTTTACATTTAGTTATATAATAAGGATCTCCATGTTGCTATGGAGTTTTCATAATTAATGTTTTAATAGCTGCTACTAAGTATTCATTCCCCTGTGGGAAGTTTAGATTGCTCTTAGCTTTTCACTCTAATAAACAGTGCTGCAGTGGATAATTCTGTGCACGTGACCTTTTCCTCTTTTTTGGATATTTCTTTATAAATCCCAGAAGTGGGATTTCTGGGTCAAGGATATGAACATTATTTTATGCTTGCCAAATTGCCTTCTAGAAAGGTTGTACCAATTTACACCTTCCCTTCAGCAGTACAGAATTAATACTGGTTTCACCACCACTTTGCCAAAATTGGCTATTACAAATTTTACTTAAATTTCTAAATTTAAATGGTTCTTGTTATTTTACTTTGCATTTCTCTGATTAGTGGAAAGGTTGAATATTTTTCTATATGCTTCTTTCCTAAGAATTTTTTTCTTATCCCTGTTGTCTTTTCATATGCTTAGTCCATTTATTTATTAGTGGGAGGAGATTTCAATGTTTTTCTTATCAATTTATATGATAAAGGAGAAGGAAGTGCAGACTAGCTGAAGCTCTGGCCTATTGTTTTATTCACAAGCTCAATCTGGAGCTTCAGGTCACAAAAGGATTAATAAATTATTAGAATCTCCTCTGCAAATAGGAAATGCCAAGATATAATGAGCTCGGTGGTCTCAGAACTATCCTAAATCGAACTGAGTCCCAAATTAGTTTACATGGTTGGAATAGAACAGATTTCTTTTTTTTTCTTTTTCTTTCTTTTTTCTTTTGTGTGTGTGTGTGTGTGTGTGCGCGCGCGCGCGCGCGAGATTTCTACACTGAGACTGATGAACTGAAGCCAATACTTCCAGGGTAACAGGAAGTAGCAAGTAGCTCAATGCAACTAACTACATCCAGCAAATTCCTCTTAAATAGTAGGGAAACATCACAGGGCCCAAGTAATGATTAATGCAAAGTTGAGTCTTTACTCTCTCCAAGGACAGAGTTTTCTGATCAGAAATCTATCAGGCTTTTTCTTCTCAGTTTTGTTTCTTCCAACCCAATCCTTCTTTTCATGAACTACACCCCTCACCCAAACCTGTAAACTCTGAAGAAGAGGAGGCATCTTGATCCCTCATAATCCGGATTTGCCATTCTTTGAAATTCTGGCATTGTCAGTGATTCCATTCTTTCCGATTAGAATCTTGGTTCTAGTTGATGTTCACTAGGAGCAGACTGAATGAATCAAACCTTTCTTCCAGTAACAGAAAAATCCACATCCCTCAAATAACATTCTGCAGTCAGTGAATCTCGAGCAACAAATCCTCCTCTGGGAAGAAAAGCACAGCCTTATCATTCTTATAATTATCATTCATCAAGTACACACCACACACTTGGCATTATAAAGAATGTTTGGCTTGATGTTGGTTTGACATGCGTTTTTTGTTTTAACCACAATAAAAGCACCTTGTGTATCCGAGGTCCCTTTCTCCAAGAAATCAAAGCATTCAACACATGCATTTTCATTTATCTCTTCAGCATCTGTTAAAGACAGGTGTGGCCTCTACTGTAAGATTCTGTTTTCCCAGCAGAAGAGACTGAAATGGAAAAAAGTTAAGGGAGCAATGCTCAGCTTAACGGAAATGAGCACAGCTGGTAATGGGGCTATGGGGGGAGGCTGGGGGCTGTAAGTGGATAGAGGAAAATTTTTAAAGATAGGGAATTTCGCCTAGGTTTCTTGAAACTCTCAAGTCTTTTTGTTGTGGTTTTAATTTACAAACTTATGCCTCTCATGCAACACAGCACTCTAGGCAGTGAAAGAATAATAGCTGGTCACATTCATCTCATTTAACTCTCAACAAGCAAATAAGGTATACATGCTTTATCCATTTTTTCAGACATGGTAAGATGGGATGAGAGGAATTGCTAATAGGTTGTGGAGGCAAGACTTGAACTCCCTCCCCTGACCAAACCCCATCCCTATGTATTGTACCAAGCTGCCCTCATATTCTCTCTCATACAGAGAGAAATAAGTAAGGCTTGATCTTGGCCATCAAAAGATCTGAAAGGCTGGTGGGGAAGACAGCCATGTACTCCCTTTAGCCAAAGGAGAAACCAAGAGGAAAGAGTAAAGGGCCAACGGCCAGCAGGGAACTGCCCAGCCTCAGGGCTCCGTGATAGCACCTGCCCTCTTATGTTTTTATTTAAAAGATTTGTTAATGGAAATTTAGAAAAGACCAAAAGTATAGGGAAAAATTAAATTATCTATTATCTCATGACCTTATCTCTGCTAATATTTTGTTGTACTTCTGTCTTTATATAAAAATTTTCAGTAGTGCTCACACTGTGTATGCAAGTTTGTATCCTGCGTTTCTCTTTTTCACACAATATTTCATAAGCATTTTCTTTTGTCATTAAAGCCCTTGGCAAACACAAATTTTAGGGTCCTCATAACATGTCATTGTATGGATGACTAAGGTTTATAAAACCATTCCTCCTTAAGTGAACATGGAAGATTTTCCCCCAGTTTTTAGCTGTTATAGTTAATGCTTTGGTGAATAGCTTGACTTACATCTTTTTTTCGGTCTCTTTTTTTTTTTAATTAAATTTATTGGTGTGACATTGGTTAACAAAATATACAGGTTTCAAATATACAATTCAGCAATACGTCATGTGTATATTGCATTGTGTGCTCACCATTCAAAGTTAAATTTCCTTCCATCACCATATAGTTGACCCCCTTTTTGACTTATATCTTGACCCAAATTTTACATGGTTTCCTCCGAACCAGTTTCTAGGCATTTTCCCTCGTAAGTCCTGTTCCTGATCTAAGGTTGGGAGATCAAATTGAAGTGGGGCATCTCTCATAAAATACCATCTCTGGTTATGCTCTTTTTTCTAGAGGAGCAGTCAAATCCTCCCCCCAAAGTGGACGAGAATGACACGGGTCCAGACGTGGAGCCACCACTGCCAGTGCAGATCCAAATAGCCACAGACGTGATGGAGCGCTGCATCCACTTGTTATCAGATAAAAATCTGAAAATCCGCTTGAAGGTCAGTGTGCAGCCCTTTCCCTGCATTCACAGAGCAGCAGAACCACAGTTTGGCCTGGCTGGCAGAGACTGCACGGATGAGCAAGTAGCTGCCCTTATCTCCTGGTCCATGTGTGGTGGCCAACAGAAGCCATCAAGAGGAATTTGTCTGTGGAATGACAGTCTTAGGTCTTTCTGCATCAGTTCACATGCCAAAAGGAGCTGAATCCCCTTTGTGGAATTAAAAACCACAAAGTTTTGGAGATTCATTGAATCAAGGGAAAGAAAGGTATATGCTTTGGAAAGGATGTCGTTTTCCGAGCTGACTTAATGCGGGATGTAGGGTTTAGTTCTTTAAAGTGGTCATCTTCCAAGCCTGACGCTAGCCCTTATCTCTGTTTCTGTTTCTATTTTCATTCTAGGAGAAATACCAACACTTTTTTTATTCATTCATTTCATTTGCTGGCAGTTTCCCAAGCAGCATCCCCATCAGCAAGGACTTAAACTACACAGTAGTGACTCCAATAACAGGACAGTGGGGTGCGGTGGGGGAGCTTCGGGGACAGGGCTTTCGGAATCACTTGGGGGATGATCTTAACATTCTAAGGAAAACAACATAGCCTGGCCCGCTCCAGCCCACCCACAAGCCAGGATATGAAACACAACTGCCTCAGTGAATTACCGTTAGTGCTGAGAGCACATTGCCCCACTCAGAGTGGAGGGCTGGGAAACTCTGATCCACAGGTTATCTCAGTTCCGCTGTGTTTTGTGGAATCTGTTTTGTCTTCCCAGAGATACTTCTTAGCATTCATCTGTTGTTCCATTCAGGAGGCACTTTTCAAGCGCCTGCTATAGACATGGCTTTACTATGGGTGTCTGGTTGACAGATTAGTGAAGTGTCTTCCCTTTTATGGAGGCGTTGTAGCAATTGTTCGCACCCTGTAGTCATTGCCGTAATTATTGAGAGCACCGGCGTTGGAGTCAGACCTACCTCCCTGAGTTCAAATCCTGGCTCTGCCCCTTACTAGCCATGTGACCTTGAGTTAGTTAATTCACATTTTTGAGCCTCAGCTTCATCTGTAAAATGGAGATGATGGTACCTACCTCACTGGATTGGTGCTTACAAATATAAAACATTTAGCATCAGGTATGACATATACACTCATTCATTTATTCATTAAATGTTTATTGGGGACTACTATCGGTCAGGCATGCGGTAGATAGAAGGCAATGGGGCAGACGTGATCCCTGTCTTCATGGAACTTTCTGTCTCTTGTGGGGAAAGGGGTGATACACAAACACGTAGAGGAAATGCTGTGAAGGTAAATAAGCAGTTTCCATGAAAGAAAATAGTAATTCACCCATGTGCTAGGAGCCGACTACCAAACCTTGTTGAATAAGACAGAACTTGCATTCTGATTTAGATTAGATCATCAGAAAGATCTCTGAGGTAGGAATATTTAAGCCGAGATTTAAAAGGTTGAGAAGGAACCAGCAATACAAAGGGGCAAAGGCAGAGAGAAGAACGTTTCAGGTAGAGGGGGAAAATATGTTTTTTAATCAATGAAGTATGATGTAATTTGCCCAGTTAGTGACAGAACTCAAATGTAGAGCCAGTCAGTGGTACCAAAGCCATTTGTACTGTACTATGCTCTCTGCTGTATACTACGGTATCTCATTCACCTGCCTAACTGTTCGCCCCTCAAGGACAGGGCCTCTTTTGTTCTTTGTTTCTGTTCCAATCTAAGTGTGACCAGCACATAGTAGGCATGCATTAAGGGTTTAGTTCTTACTGTTGGCAGACTTCACTCTGTCTTTCTGCCTCACACACGCACCCGCACCTGCTCTGTGAAGGCTGGCCCATCTGTGTGGGAGGGAAAGCTGCACTGGCCATCATGGTGACCGCTGCCTACGCCACTGAAGCAGGCCATCTGTTTTCAGTGAGTTTTGAGATATGAGAGGTTAGAAAACATGTGCTCAGGAAAGATGAAAAATCCAATTTACATCTAGGTTACCCCACACGTTTCTTCTGAGGTTGACCCATATCTCAGCTGTCCACTTGACCTCTCCATTTAGAAGTAACAGAACTTGATCTTACCCTACCTTTCAATTTGCCCCTCCTCCATTTTTCCCGTCTCATCAAGTGGCACCTGTAGCTATTCAGTTGCTAAGCCTGAACCCAAGTAGCTCTTTTTAATACCTCTCTTCATCTCCCCAATATCAAGTCTTTAAGCAATTTAAGCCATTTCATCTCCAAAACATAACAAGTCCTTTCACTTCTCTGCCGCTGCCACCATCATGGGGCCACATCACTTTCCTCCTATGCGGACATGTGCCGTGGCTCCCTCACTTCTCTCTCCCGCTTCTAGTCCCTTCTCCACTCAGCCGCCAGAAAGACCTTTTTAAAACATGAATTGTATCCTGTCACTTTCCTGTTTGAAGCATCTTGATGGCTTCCCACTACACTTACTACAAAATAAAAATTCTTAACATGACACCTTTGTGGTCCAGCCCCATCTTTCCCTCTTCAGTCTTGCTCCATACTGCCCACTTGGGTTTCCTCAGCGCTTCAAGCTCTCCCACCTCCGAGTTTTCCTCGTTACTCTTTTCAGTTCTAGGAACATGCTTTCACGCTTTTCATGACTAACTCCTAGTCACCCTCTGTGTCCCCCTTAGAAGTTGCTTCCTCAGAGAAGCCCTCCCAGCATTCTATGTGCTTTACATCCCTCCCTTTAGTTTCTTTGCATTTCACCCTTTACTTTTCTTCCTAGCCTTGTCACAATTGGTAATCATCCCTTTATTTGGTTGTTATCTAATTAAGATCTTTCCCCAGTTGACTATAAGCCCTGCGAAGACAAGGAAACATATGCATTTTGTCCTTGTGTGTCCTCCCACCCTGCTCCCCAGTGCATCAACTAGTGCTTGGCATGTTGTTAGAACTCAGTAAGTATTTATTCAGTTAATGAGTTTCTAAATATTATTCTTTTAAAATGGTGACTTGATCCCAAGTATCTGGTTTCAAGCCTTCGAAAATCATGTCCTCCTTTCTTCCAGGTCTTAGATGTGTTGGATCTGTGTGTGGTTGTTCTGCAGTCCCATAAGAACCAGCTCCTTCCCTTGGCTCACCGGGCCTGGCCCTCGCTCGTGCGCCGACTTACAAATGATGACCCTTTGGCAGTGCTCAGAGCCTTCAAGGTACTGCTCAGGTGGCCCACAACTGTCATGGTGATGAAGGGTAGCAAGCACAGAGCTCACCAGTGTCTTTAGGGGTTGGTTCTCTTTATGCCTGCTTGCAATGTAATAACCTTGAAGAAAGTATAGAAAAATAAGAAGAGCACAAAGAAGAAAATAAAAGTCAGTTTCCTTCTGAATTTGAAGCAGAGTGAACTAGTGGTTAGAAGGGCCACCAGTAGTTATTGAGGACCCACTAAGTGCCAGGCTGTGTGCTTGGCACTTCCCACACATGAGCTCATCTCCTTATAGTAACCTTGCAAATTAGATATTATTATCCCCATTTTTGACAGGAGGAAACAGCTCAGAGAAGCTAAGGAATTTTCTCAAAATCACGCAGCTAATAAATGATAGAACCCAAATCTGTGAGTTCATGCCCATGTTATTGGCACAAGTCAAGGTGAAGGGACCTAGGCTCTAGCAATGGGCATCCTCTGCCCAGCCACGTGACTTTAGGCAAAGCCTTTGACCACCCATTTTCAGATTGAGTTTAAGAATACCTGTCCCATCTTTCTCATAGTGTTGTTGTCAAGGATAAAATGAGACTGTTTGGTGAAATACTTTGAAAAATTAAAAGCCCTACATATATGTAAGGTATTATTCTCTCTGATTTAGTTTGGTTTATATTTTAGCTTATTTGTTTATATTCTTCCTTGTTCTAAAAAGCACTTAAGGCATCCTACAGAGATATATTTACCATGGCAAACTCACATAAATTAGAAGAAGAGCAAGATGAGGCAAAGAAAAATGATGGGTAGGAATATAAAATGAAACTAAGACAATTGGCAAAGGTATTTTGGTTTTCTGAAAGATTCTTCAGCATATACCAGATCAAACTACAAGCTTACATGTAAAATGTATCAAATTGCTAATATTTTTTCCTACAGCAAAATACGCAAAATGATGTGTGTGAGAGAGAGAAGGCTAGAGCGAGGAGAAAAAGAAAGGGAAGAGGGAGGTTGGGAAGGGGAGGGAGGTCTTGATAAATCTTATTCAGATGTGCGGCTTTTCTGTATGAGAATTAATAGGTTATATGAAATGACAGCAAGCTTAGAAAAATGAAAAAATATAAAAGACGTGTGCGCCGTAACTGAGGCTGCTTTTTCACCCCCAGACACGTTGGGGACACCTGAGGTCTGTAAGGCCTTGTGCAGTCCAGCCAACGGACCTGAAAATAAGTGCCTTATTCTCTACCAAGTCCACAAACAATCTCTGTGTTGGTTATGCCTTGCTTACCAATTTTTAAAGAAATTCCTATTATCCTGTAGACTTAGTCTTGTGCAGCGGGGCAAAACGTTTCAATATGTTCTGCTAGAGAAAGTTTAAAATGAGACATGCAAGGAAACTAACTGCCTGTTGTGAAAGATGGAATGAGGGCAATATACGTAAGAGATTGGGCAGTGGAACGAGGAAATCCATCTCGGCTCTGGCCACTGGTGACCCTGGCCTTACTTAGCCAGGGGACCTCAGCCAGCCACTGCCTTCTCAATGCCTGCACATGGCAGCAGCTGGGCCTCTGTGTGTGTGTTTGTTCAGCTAGGTGGAGTTAAAAGCACAAGTCTTTTCTCGGAAGATGTTAGGAAGATTCAAGAGATGATCTATGTGAACTGCTTTAAGGTCTTTTTATTTTTTTTAACAAAAAAGGGAGGAAAATCAAGGGATTAATCATATTCATCCAACCCAAGATTCCTTTGAATTATTCTCCGTGTAATCTGTATTTATGGATAGAAGCAGCCATGCCTTGGGAGCAGAGACCTCCGAATTCATAACTGGCAGAATCACAAACCATAGGCAGGGAATTAACAGCAGTAATTCTATTTTTTTCAAGCAGAGACCTAAATGAAATTGAATTACCAAGCATTCTTTAGCTCTCTCGCTGCCTTGGCGATATTCAGTCACCAGGTCGGGGGCTGTTTCTGCAGGTTTTGCGTACCCTGGGAGGCAAGTGCGGCGATTTTCTCCGAAGCCGGTTCTGCAAAGATGTTCTGCCAAAGCTGGCTGGCTCCTTAGTCACCCAGGCTCCTGTCAGTGCCAGGGCTGGACCAGTTTACTCCCACACACTGGCCTTCAAGTTACAGTTGGCCGTCCTGCAAGGCCTGGGCCCCCTCTGCGAGAGTTTGGACCTAGGTAGGTACCAGGCAGCCTCACCTGGACACACATTCTCTGCCTTGTCTCACCCCCACCATTGCACCGTCTGCTTAGTCGTGCTCCTCTCGTCTCCCTTCGTGTGCTCATCCTTCAGTCTTACTTCGGCCTCATTTATCTACTTACCTTGATGTGTTTTTTGACTTGTGCGATGGAATAAAGAGCCCACGGCATCTTGCCTAGCTGTCTTCAGTTTTACCAGACAGCAGTTTGTTACTGCTCATTCCAAATGAAGTCTGAGGGCCAAAACTTGTTTTGTTTTTCCTCTCCACAGGTGAGGGTGACCTGAATAAAGTGGCTGATGCCTGCTTGATTTACCTCAGCGCCAAACAGCCCATGAAATTACAAGAGGCTGCCAGGAGGTACGTCTGCTTGATCATCCGCATCTCTTTATGTTTGTCCTAAATTATAGATGATTTGCTAATGGCAAGCAGAGGTGAGGCATCTCTGCTCTTTCCTCTTCTCTCCCTTACCAGGTTAAAATGATTTTTTTAACTGTGCCAACTCTAGAGATGGCATTTTTACTAGACGCGTTTCTCTTTGTAAGTAACCTTTACCTCTACTGCAACGTCAGCAGCAATTCCAGAAGGGCAAAAAGCAGAAAGATGGTGTGCTGAATGGGACAAAACTCTCTCCTGGTTGGAGGATGATCTGCTTTTAGGCCCTGCTCGGCTGGTGACCAAGTGACCCTGGCACCTCTGCGGGCCTCAGCTCCCTCATCTACAAAATGAAAGCATTGGGTTACTGATCTTGCATACCTTGACTCTAAGGAGCATCATAATGGGCATCAGGTGCTATGAACCCTCACAAATGATGCGCAAAATTGGGTGTGTGCAAGCAGGTACATATGTGCCTTTTTCTAGACAGGGTTCTTCCCATTCGTCCAATTATAATAGGAGTCTGTGAACCAAGAAATGTTAAGAACCACGGGGCTAATGGTTTAAAGGGCCTTTTCTGACTGAAATTATGTGATTCTCATTTCCAAGAGTTTTGCTTATTCAAGAATAACTGTACCAACTCTAATGGGAAAAAAACTCTGTCTGGTTTCTTGAGTCCTAAAGGATTTTTCTCAAAAGCTAAAACTCTGAGCACAGCAGCATTCCTGAGACTTGAGACCCAAAATGCACTCCGGCCCCTTTTCCTCAGCTGTCTGTCCATCCGGGAGCAGCCTGTGCCCTGGAACTGTCATCCCCCGCCTGTCTGCTGCTGGAGCAAAAGCTGGCCTGTCTGGCCTGGCACTGTGTACTTTGCCATGTCCCAGGGCAAAGAAATAGTCCCTCCCACTTCTTAGGCTTCTGGAAACATGCCCCTCTGTGGGGTAAGAGTCATCTCGTTCCCTGAGGGCCTGAGAGCTGCTCTGAGAAATGAGGAAAGCCAACTCGCTCCCTTTTAAACCTTATACTCTCAGAGTGACAGAAGTATCTTTTTGAATTGATTTATTGTCCTTTGCAATTTTTTTCTCTTGATTTCCCCAGTTCCCTTTCTGTCTCTTTCTCATCACATCCCCTAGGCCCAGAATCAGTCATGTTTTCTGAAGCACAGGGGTGCATCCCAACCAGCTTCTTATCCCTATACATCCTTATTCCTTAGAGAACCAACTTAGGGCGAAGGCGATCCTCCCCAGGCAGTGTCCCTGAAGCAATCGTGCTGTGACTTAAAAGACAACTCAAGAACATAATGAATTCATCTTGAAGTAAATTCTTCATGTGCCTGTTAGAACCAAGAGTTACAAAGATATGATTTTCATAGTTCCCGTTACATTCTTTTTCTACACCCGCCCCTTATTCGTCCTTCAAGTTTAGACCCATCAAACAAGCTAATATTCGCAATTTATTATCTTTTCATTTCCTTTTTTTTCCCCACTAAAAGCAATTATAAACAGAATTAGACCCTGCTGAATCTTGACTTGGTAGTCAAGGTGCCTGGGAGGAGGAAAACGCGGCCGGACCACTTGATTGCAGCGCCTTTGTTTGCTCCCTCGCATTCCATTCGGGTCGAGTCAGATGACCTCGCTCTTGCCAGGCTGGGAGGGAAGGAAGTGCAAGGTTGATTACTTCACAAACACATCATCTGCAAACTTATTTTGAAGTCAGGGGAGAAAAATCAGTGTTGTCCTTGATCTGGAGCCGCTTTGGCATCCCGATTCAAAAATTAATAAGCTCTGTAAATGGAAGAAGAAGCCTGAGACAATGGGAAACCTGGTCTCTTTGTGAGCCTCATTACCGAATAGAGAGAGGGAGATGGGTGGACTGATTAGCATTGAAACCGTCTTACCTACAGGGAATGATGAACAAGGTCCCTTGAATGAGACAAAAGTCTCCAGCTCAGTAAATGGCCTCACCATCCATCCAGTTGTTTGTCTTTAATTCTATTTCCTCCACCCCATTCATTCATTCCAGAAGTGAAGCCTGTCTACATAACTAACAAAACCTCTCTTCAAACTGCTTCTATTCACCTCCCAGCCGCCAGGTCAAGCCAGGGCCACCCTCATCTCTTACGACCACAGAAGCCTCCTTGCTGGCCCCCTGCTTCCACTCCTGCCCCTCAAGACTCCCCACACAGCAGTCCATGACACCCCCCACCCACTCAAGGGAGAAGAGAGGCTGTTGTGTTGGTTGCCAGGGCCCAAGGGGCAGCCCTGTAGCCAGAGGGTTACAAAAGCTCTAGCCTCAGCTCAGTACTCAGAAGAGCCAGGAAAGCCAAAGCCGTCCAGAGATGCTCCGGCTCCCTCAGAGCTGGTGAGTTTTTGACACTGGACAGGTGACCAGCTTGCCTTGGAAGTGAGTCTGGCAGGTGGGGGTTGGGACAGCTGAGGGGCAGCCTCCCTCAAGTTGGAATGGAGGCAGACTCAGCCGCTCCATAAAAATTCATCTTTGTGTGCGTTACACTTGGGTTTTTCCTTCCTCCTGTTTGCTTTTCCTGGCTCGGAAGAATGACCAAGCCTGTGTTTGCTTTTTTAATTTGTCGTATTAAATATAGCCTTTGTGGCAGGCTTTTACATCCAGGCTGTAAACTCTAGAAATGGAAATTGATCAGGGGGTGGTTGATATAACCAAGGCTATAAACGCTAAGAACGGAGATGCCATTCCAGTTTAATGCTTTTATCTAGTGAATGTGCCTTGTAAGGAGGGGCGTAAATCTTGCAACTGGGGAAGGGTTGGGGGTAGGGACAGGGTATAACCTTGCTGTATTTTACCACCAGGTGTCACTGTTAACTGGCTATGCAAGAAAAATACCAGCTCCCCCAAAGTCCATCTAGTTAAATAACTTCAGTGGATAACAAATGAGAAAATCATATTTGAAGTTGGGAGGAGGGGTCAGCATAACAAGCTGTAAATAAGGTAGTGTCCCTGAGGGTGCATTGGATCACAGAATAACAGGTCATGTCGGCCATGCCCCCACTTCAGCCATGGCAGAGGCGAACTTAACTGATTTAAGCTCCCATGTGGCCTGGGAAGCATCTGAGATAGCTCCCAGAATGCAGTGGGCCTCCATAGTTCTGTGCCTTTCTGGCCATGGAGCTTTCTTTTCCTTCCCAAACATGAAAGGAATGTGAGATGCAAGCCTATGCCCCAAATTTCTGTGTGTTTCCTTCAAGCCAGCACATGCTCTCAGTCTGGTTTAAATCAACTCAAGCCTATGCCCCAAATTTCTGTGTGTTTCCTTCAAGCTAGCACATGCTCCCAGTCTGGTTTAAATCAGCTCCATTAAAACCACACTCCCTGGGCCTATCTGAGCAGCCTCTGAGGTTCCCTGTCTTTTGCAGGGAGGTCTTAAATCATCCTGAATCTTTCACTCTGGGGCTAAAAGGAAGGAACTAGGCAATACCTGTTTTTAACAAGATGAAAAGTCCATGTCCAACAAGACTCAGGGTGGAGAAACAATGTACTTCGGCCACTCGGTCTCCACCCCCAGTCCTACCTCCACCTGCCAACCCCTGAACCCAGATAGGGATGCAGGGTGCCAGCTGATAGTGACCTAGTAGCCGGCTAGTGCACCTTTTGGTTGTGCAGGTCCTAGATGTTGCAGTCCTTGGGGGCAGGGTGCCCACCCAGCATCCTTTGCCTAGCCATTATATATGAGGGCAAACGGTATCCACCAGTCTTGGAGGTGGACAGACCTAAATTCAAATCTTACTGGCTCTGTGACCTTGAGCAAATGACTTAGTTGCCTTATACCTTATTTTTTTTTCCCTGTAAGCTGGAGGTGGTAATACCTTTCTCCCAAAATCATTGCACAGGTGAGAAGGCATCTGCCCAATGGTGCTTATGTTCCAGAGGTGTATGTATGTGTGTATACATGCCTACATGGGATATATATAAATACCAAATATATGTATCATGTATGTGTTATACAAACACATATACACTTGGGCATGGTAATTTTTCTTGTAAACCTGCTTCATCTTTACTGAAATCTGAATGGAAGTTTTTACCTCAGAATGATCTTTTTCATGTTAATTGTGCCACTTCCCCCTATCTCCCATTTGCTTGAGAAGTCAGGACCGGGTTTGAAGGTTCATTTACTGACTGACTTCCCTGCTTTCTTTCTAGCAGTAGGATCTCAGCTCATCAAAGAACCAGCCAGTGCCTTCAAACCCTGGACGAACACAGACTGGCACAGGCTCGTTCATTTCATCCCTGTCAGAGTCCCAACGCCTCTCTTTACCCACACCTGGCCTATTATATTTGAATGGATCAGGAGCCACAGAGGTGATCCGTTAGTTCAGCTGAGCTTGAAATTAGTAGCTCATCTTCGTAAATGGTGTGGGCAGTTTGTTTGAGCTTGGGCTGCAAAGCTGCCTCCGCTTTGGATTGCACCCAACATGGAAATGAGGGCCCTCCTAATACTTTTCCTTTTGACATTTGATTAATAGTTGACAAATCCAGACCCAAGTAGTTAGTTTTCCCATTATCCATCTTTTGACAGGCATTGCTGCTTTTTTTCCCTCCATGTTCATTGTTCTAAAAATAAGCTTGGATCTAAAGCTGTTCACTGTGCATATATAGGCATGGTTTCCTGGTGTCAAAGATAAGAGACATCTGCCATGCAGATTACAAACAAAGTGGGTGGCTGGGTTTCAGATCTGAAAGCAGGGACCTCTGTGCTACTTAAATCAAATGCTACCCATCCTTTCCCTGCTTCCTTGGTGTTATCATGTGATTGATAATCTGCCAGGGTCAACCATTTTGCCACTCAGTGGGAAAGGCAAGTCTGGGGGGTGTGTGCGCATGTACATACCCTGCTGGGTCAGGAACCAGAATTCTCTTGATGCTTCTGGCACCTGAACCACCTATGCAAAGTGGATTTCAGATATCAAAGGCCTTGGCAGACCTCAGGGTAGCCATTTCTTCACTTTGCA